ACTGTCAAAAACTACAACAGATGCAGCTGTTGTTTTTAGGAAAGGCATAATATTGAGCGGGATCTTTGAGATGGAAAAGAATTAAGTATATTATTGTAATTTATATTTAATAAAGAGGGAACATATAATTTTAATTTAAATAAAATATTATAAATATATTTAATAAAAATATTATAAGTTTATTTAATAAATAGAGACAAAATTACAAAAATTTTAACCAAGCTTATTAATCGCCAATTTTTAAATTTGAAAATTCTTTAAGCAGCTTTTGTTCTTTCATCTTTTGAATAAATATCTGCTGATCGCGTTGTCGCATTTTCAGGAGACGGATACGCAGTGGTTCAGGATTCTTATATTTGAATATTTTACCCTAAAATTTTATATCAAATTAATTAATTTAAAAGTTTTACCTCTCTGTGATTAAAATGATAATTGTTCATCTTTCGGTTTTTATAATTTTGTTTTTGTTCTAACTTTCTTAGTCCATGTCGCATTTTTAGGATACGGATGTGCAGCGGAACAGGTTTCTTATTCTTTTAGTTTAATGTTATATGAATCTAATTTAAAAATTTTACTTCTCTGTGATTAAAACGATGATAATTGTTCATTTGCCGATTTTTATAATCTTGTTTTTGTTGTAATTTTCTTAAAGCATGTACACCAAGTGGCAAATCATAAGAAGCTTGTCGTTTCTAAAATTTTTAATTAAATTTAAAAAACGATAATTACCGATTCATTTCGATAATATTTAATATTATATTTATTCATTAAAAATATTAAAGTATTAATTTAAATAAAATTTAAAAGATTTTCTCAAGGTCGTTCGAATTGTTTATTTGAAATGACGCCTATAATATACAATAAATCAAACATCTGTCATTTAAAATATTGAAATAAAATATTATGATTGATGATTTTTCTCAAGGTCATTCGAATTGTCGTAAACAATGTCAATAATAATACTCAATAAATTAACCATCTGTCATGTAAAATATTTTGTATAATTGAGGGACCGTATAATTTTTGTTAAATTTTTTTGAAATATAAAGTATCGGTGAAATTTTGATCGAGTATAAAAGGCGAAAACTTTTTTAAAATAATTTAATATCTTCATTTTTTCAAATTTTTCGAAATGCTCTATCTAATCGATGAATGCGCTAAAATTCTACAATGCCACCCAAAGTCATTACGAGATAATTTACATCACCCGTCAAAGCGAGCTTTACTCATATCAAAGCTTAAAGGAAGAAAAGTTCGAACTCTCTACTCAGACAGAAACGGATTCCGCAAGACATTTACTATATATGATCTGACATACAAGGGTGCACATTGTACTTTGGCGTACGGTGCTTTATCTCGTCCTTTTAATGTTTCCGTCGCAGCACACTTCTATTCACGACACAGAATTCGGTTACAATATCCTTATCTTCAATGTGTCATTGAACACTTCCCTCGGCGATGCGAAGATCGATACTACCCTCTAGAATTATTGGAGTTTGTTGATGAAAAAGTTGAGGATTACATTGGGTTTCATATCGACGACAAACCACTTTATACTGATGTTTCTGAAAAACTACAAAAAATTGACAAAGAAACATCTGAATCGGACAAAAATACGGATGACCCGCTAATTTTCACAGATGATTTTGATGAAATTGAAGGATGGTGATTTTTTTATTCTCTTTTAACTATTTATTCTGAAACTTTTCCTTAAAAACAATAACTTCTTTCCCTAAATTTGAAACTAAGTTAAAAAATATTCTCTTCTAAACCTTAATTCTGCAATTTTCCCCTAAAAATTATAAACTTCTTTCTCTTAATTTTATAACTTAAATTTATTAATTTTTAATTTATTTTTGAACTGTTTCTTCTTCTTGTTAATTTTGCATTTTTACCCCTAATAATTTATACTTTTAGTAATTAATTTCGCATATAAAAATAAATTTTATTACAAAATATTAAATAAACAAATTACAAATTATATCCAAAATCTAATACAGTAAAATCACTAGGCCTAACAATTCCTTTCCCTACAAAGGGACGGTACATTTTCTTTAATGGTTGCGTAAATACAGAGCCTTTTCTTACAGACGGGCGAAGAAAATTGGGATAATTTAAGTTTAGTGGAGGACAATCACCATTAACAAATTGAAATAATTTTTCTCTAAAAGTTTCATAGTGTAATTGTTGGTTGACAGTCACATCCCAATTCAGAGTAATACCTCTCAATTTAATTACATGTTCTAATTCTGCATCTGGATCATTATTTCTTTGAAGTTGAAGCGCATATTGTTTAGCACCAGCTGAACAATATTCTAATATTCTATGACGAGGGTACTCGTCAGTAAAGTCACCCAAGTGCGGTCCAAGCTTGAGTGGATTATCCTCTTTAGGGTGCACAAAAATAATTGAATCAGTGTCTGAAATTAAGATTATATTAAGGTTAAAAGCAATATTTACCTGTGTACAGAAGTTTACACCCTGTACTTCTGACGACCTTTTGCATTGCCTTTAGCAAATATATTCTCGCCATGGATGTTGTCCATAACGAAATAACTGAATGTTTAACAAAATTTTTAAAAAATTTAATTAATACTTACCGACGTTCGAGCATCCGTGTTCTTCCACCCAATCCTTTTTTGTCAAATGAGAGATCAAGATGATGTCAGGAGTCAATTGATCTACAGAAGACACTTCCTTGGTTGAATCATCCACAATTTTTCGCCAGGCTGCAGGGCTGTCTGTGATTGTACACTGACTCAGGCCAAAATTTCTAAGAGAAAAACGACCCCCTAAAATTTAAATTTTTATTTTATTAAAATGAAGAAAAACTTACAAAGATTATTCAGACACAATTTTGCCTGAGTACGTTTGCCTTTGTTGGGGACCTAAAATTTTTATTATTTATATAGAAAATTAAAATTACCATTTTATTTCGATCAATGATGATGTCAAATTTATCCGCGCATTCTCGAATAAATTTCTCCTCAGCCTCCCAATCGCCTTTGATCGAGTCATCAAATCCTGATGAGTGAATTTTCTGACTCATAAACTCTGATATGTAGCCACGAAACAGACTGTTGTCACTTGAAGTGTATTCAAGAACACGAAAAAGCCTTGTGACCTTATACCCACAATCGAGAGCTTCATTAAGCTCTACGGAAGTGCATGTTGAGACCCAACCTCGTTGATTATCTTCATGCACACATTTATATTCTTCATCTAACCCTCCTTCAGGATGTTCTTTTCTTAAAATATTTTAAAATTTTAGAATTATTTTCTGAAACTTACGCGCAAGCGATACAGAGAGGGAATAACAATCTATCATTTGATTTAACAGGTAACACAGGAACATCAATTTTCTTGGGAGGGATAACAAATACCTGTAAAATTTAATTTTCATTTAAAAACTTTTTGTATTACCTTTAAAATAGCCAAATCATATTTATTATCTTTTGAACTTGTCCAACAAACAGTTTCATTCAATATGTGGGGAATGGGATGACCAGTTGGATAATTCGTCGTAACATTGATGAACGGATACAATGAAGTTACGTCGTAGTAACTTATTTTCTCACCAGGTTGGGCAGAATAAAACAATTTAAGTGGACCTGTTCTCCCACCAAAAAACGCAGAGCGGATATCAATCGGACCATTATCCAGGTACTCATCAAATTTCTTCTTCATTTCTTTATCCTTCTTCAACATTGTTTTGATCTCGCATTCCCAGAATACTTTAACTTCTTGAACTTGTGACTTAATAAAGTTCAGCCTTTTCTTATCCAATTCACGTTGTCGACCTGCTGTCTTTCCAGAAGGCAATACAATTCCATCGTCCGGGTAACACTTGATGCATGCATGCCAACAGCACCCATTCACCTCAATTCCTAGTTTTTGATCTTCAACCCAACCGTCTAGACGATAATTACCAATCCTTAAAACTTAATTTTATAAATCCCTTTTATTTATTACCTTTTTTCGCCATCAACAGAATTAGCCATTTGAACAATAACTCCGTTTGTTTCACCATACCATTCCAAGAATTTCAATGCTAGTAGACTTTGATTATCTTTGTTGTCGTAGCCTCGTTCCGGAACAATTGCGAGATGATCATCCTTGAGATGATTGGACCGGAAGTGCTTCATGCAAGCACTTGCGATGGTCATAGACTCACGCAAGACATCGATTCCTTCATTTCCACGTTTTGAAACCTAAAATATTATTTTTTAATTTATAAAAAATTTAACCTCTATGAATTCTTTTCTAAAAGCAACAAGTGCAGCCATTAAGATTTCGACGTCGTTTGTACAATAAGAAGCCAGGGATTCATCAAGGTTGAAGGGCTCTAGATGATGTTGATCGTACCACAAATCAAACTTTTTCCTCTTTTCCGGAAGAAAGCCATCTGCCAGATAATCTGCCTTCGTCGGGTAGATTTCTTTTCCATAATTGCGTGGATGGTTTGCCAAGTGCGGAAAATATGGCTTGTCTTCAACCTGTAAGCCAAATGCAGGTACTAGTGTTGCAAGACTCATAGGCATTAAATTGAAGCTGTCCCTGAAGATGATGTCCCCTTTCTTCTTCCCTCGTGAAGTTACTTTCATTTCATACATCTTGTTGCCCCTTTTTAACATTTCTGGAGTAAAACCTAAAATTTCTATTATTTGATAAAAAGATAAATAATTAATTACCGTTAAGAAACAATTCTTTGAAGACAAGGACCATATCAAAACGACCACCAAAATGTGAAAAAGCGAATGTATCATGTTCTTGAGGTAAACCGTTAATTATCCATTCAACAAAAGTCTTCAAAGGGTTTTGGCTGATGAACATTTTATCCACGACTGTATTTGTAAATGGACGATGAGAGAAAGTTAAAGTTCTATATTGACCACAAATTTGACATTCTTTTTCCTAAAAAAATTTTTTAAATTAATAAAATTTAAAATTTAGTTACCTCTATAATACATTCCGGGCATGTAACCTTAGCACAGATAAAGTTTGCTTCGTGTTTCTTCCCTTGTTCGGTAGGTAGATATTGAGTGGTTTCGAGATCAAAGGCTATAAATCTGTACTTCTTTACTTCTTTAGGTTCTAGGGTCTTGATGAAACATCCACGTTTCGGATCGTGATAATCATGGCAAGTTGAGCAATGACGTTCGCCACACACGTGACCCTGACGCCCTCTCTTATTGTTGTCCTTCACATTCCAAATAACCCCACATTCTTGACATTCTTTCGAAATATTGCAGAAGCCACAATTGAGGTGATGCCGATAACAGTTGTTATTGAAGAATGTCTTGGAACAATGCTGGCATAATTTGTAGAATCCCCCAATAATTTTGCAGGGGAAGCCGGGACCAACTCTAGAACACCTTTTACATCTAGCCTTACAAGAAGTTTTATGTGTCACGTCTCTGTCGTACACCTTTTCACAGTGTAAACAATAGGGCTGTCCAAATAAACCTCCTGTCGTCTTTACTCCATCAAAGTGTTGATTATTGTAGTAGAGAATGATTGCAGTATCAAAATTATCAGGACCACTTTTAAACTCTGGTTCATAGTAACCCAACGATCCGAAGATGAAGACTTTGAATATATGCTTTCCAGAATACTTGTTGTTCCAGTAGTTAACAACAATGGGAACCCATTGTTCAGCGTTATATTCCTTTAAGTTTGTTGGTGCTCCAATAATATTCATCAATTCTAAAGCATCTTCTCTAAGTTTATTTGCCATTCCATGTTGACTTTTGATGTAACGTGAGAACTTTTCCCAGTGCCAATTAAATACCGTGTGAACAAGTGTAGCTACTAAGGAATAGAATAGACAGAAGGTATTATTGTTGTTTTCGATCTAAAATTAAAAATTATTTTAATAATCCATGATTCATTGCCTATCTAATTAATAATTTTAATTCCCACTTTACATTAATCGATCTAAAGATGTTTATTTTAATTATTTTTCCTGATTAATCCCACACTTACAAATAATTTTTCTTTTATTAAAACATTGATAAACTGGCCTTAATCAAAGCTCTTTCATTTATTCGATGACGAACTGGTGCAATTTTTCGATTTCCGGCACCTGTTAGTTGACGTTGTTTAGGTAGGGAGCTTTTGTCAACGACTGTAGCAGTTACAGTGAAGGGTTGTCCCCAAAGTGAGACTTCTTTCTGCCGAAAACTTTGGGCAACCAGGAGAAAACGGTTGAGTATTGATTCAACCGTATTCTCATTTCTATCCCTGAAATAATCGAAATTTTATTAAAGGTTATAACAAATTTAAGGTGACCTGATAGGGATCCAAACATCGTGATCCAGTACAGGGCTACTCACGACGCATCCAATCTGTTCCGCTTTCATGCCTCTATTTACACTAGCTTCCACAGCTTCATTTAAAAAGTATTGAAAAATCCCTATAAATTTTATTTATTAAATCTAAAAGTTTTAACTTACTGCTCAGAAGCTCCTCAGGGTCGGGGGGCAAGTCCTTGATAAGGAACTTGCTACGGCTTTTCAAAAATTTAAATTTTTTATTTTCCTCAATCGATCCTTCGAGTTGATCGACATAATCTTTTGGTTCTTTTGAAGAACAGGAGCCGCTTTGTAGACCAAGTAGATTTGTGATGGAAAAAATAGATTGTAGTCCTAAAAGACTTTCAATAGTAAAACGTGATTTTTTCTTCGGTGGTTGTTGATCCATTTTAGAAAAATTATAATAAAGCTAAAAATTTATTAAATATAAAAATTATCGATTGTAAAAAATTTAAAAAATACACAAATGACGAGATTATTACATTTTTACGATATTTATAATTAATTATTCTGTCTTTAAACCTCGTCTAAAATTTTGGCGGGCTTTTTGTAAAATTAAAGCTGTCAAGTCTGTAAGAATTTTATTACTGTAACATCTGTCGACAGATGTGAAAAGATCAAAAGGTGCCGCCATATCTCAGATTATTAATATTTGTAAAATTTTTATTTCTATTTAAATTCCGGGGATCTATTTTTAATTAATGTACCATCTCGTACCATGCACATTTTTTAAATTTGAAGGGAAAATATAAAAGCTTGCAGCTTACTATATTACAGTATTATTTTTCTTATAATTTTTCTATACAAGTAACAATAATGGCAGAGGAATCAAAGCATTATTTAATCGAGGTATTTTTTAAAAAAGTTTAATTATACCAATTATATAAGGGACATGCTACCTACAAAACGTGTACAAGACATAGTTACCTGTCTGCTCTCAATTTATCGTTAAGAAACCATGAAATATTGGACAAGGGTGCTCGAGCTAGTTTTATCTGGCACTATTTTAATGGCTATCACTGGTGCGAGGAGTGTTCGAAATTTAATTTGATGAAGAAACAGAAGAAAACCCTTATACCAATAACTGAAAATGTATTTTTTTACTCGTTTTGGTTATGTACGGATTGTGCATTATTTGCTACTGCACCTTAATTACGTTTATTTTCAATATTAAAAGATAAAAATTTGTAAAAAATTAGTGGATAGAAGATGACAATTTTGGGGGTATTTTAGCAGAATTAAGAAAAAAATATATAAATTTTAAATTTTATCCGTATTTTAATGCAAAAAATTAAACATGTAGTGTTGTGTGTGACAATTATTTTATAAATTTATTAACTACTTTAGTTACAAATAAATCAGGATTTTGAACATTATCTAACATTTTCAAATATTTCTCAAAAGTTAGCCCTTGTGATAAAAAATAAGTTAAGGAAATACAATGATGACCACATGTTTTAGAAAGAGGTGATTGATAAGGTTTTAAATTTCTTGTAATTTTAGAAAAACGTAAGGGTATTGAACTAATTATACAATCACTTGTAGGTAATGTAAGACTATCAAAATAATATAATTTGTTTGAATTAGTAAAAATAGTTATCCAATGGGATCCTTTCATTCCTTCTGGGTCCATATTGACGATATAGACAGACTTGGTTGATTTAATATTTGGTATAAGGTTACAAGGGTAGCATCCTTTGAAAATCTCCCTCGTCGCTGGGTTTGAGTTCAATATCACAGTTATCTGATGACTGTTCATTTCCTTCTATAAAATAAAAATATTAAATTTTATATATTAATTTTTACCTTTAAACTTTTTTCGGGGGAGTACTACTTTTAACCAAAGAAATGAACGTAATTGATAAATAATGAGGCTAATTACAAATAGAATATACAACCCTATCATTCCCCAACAGAAAATATGTCCATATATATTATTTTCTCCTGGACTTTCCTTACAAAGTTGAATAGTAGGGAAGTTTGGAAAATTTATAGGGATATTAGTCTCAGTTGTAGTTCTTTTTGCTAAATATTCTGCGTATTCAGGGAGATTTTCCACTTTTGAAATATCATCTATACTTAGTGATTCAACAAGAGGAGAAAAAATTCGAATAAGAAAAATAATAATTGAAATTTTATTCATTTTAAAATTTTAATACAATATTGAAATCTGAATCTATTTATATAGTAGTGTCACTAGCGATAGTACGATTTTTATCTAAAATAATCAATGAGTCTGCTTCTCCCATAGCCACAAGCATAATTCCTCCGTCTGGTACTGGCTGACTAAATTTAATATTCACCGCTGTTGTCCCATTCTTTATCAAATCAAAAAGTCCTCCCTGATCGTCCCCACTATTGGTTAAGTTGAAGATGTATATACAATGAGTAATTCCGTACTGTAGATAATTAATTCCATTACTTTCTGAAGAGGTAGCTAAACCAATAGCGTCATTCATGTCATTAAATGCTCGAACATATTTCCCGTTAATGTAATCAAAGTCATATGGGGCTTGGGGGTAACTTCGACCGTTCGCAATAATGCTAATTTCGCGAACATTAAAGTGTTGAAAGTTGAAAGGACTTCGTCCAAAATTTCCAACATAGTCAGAGTTAGCGACTAGACCAAGTGTTATTCTCCGGGGTATTTGGTCCATAAACAGATTGGCATTAAATTCATATCTCCCTTGACTAATAAAGAGGGGTTTCATCATAGTCTTCCTTATAGCATAACGGGCAGGTTTAATGTCAAGTTTTCTAGCAATGTCTAATGCTAGTCCGTCCATAAGATCCATCTTTTTAATATAAAGTTTACAGTTCACAACTTCAAAATAGTAACGTGTTGGTTGGGCAATACCAAGAACTGGGGGAGCAATTAAAACAAATTTTGCATCGTTGGGTAAAATTTCAATATCCACTTCGCATTGGTTAATTAAATAAAGTGGTTGATTAAAAATATCGGCATCGAGTTTTGTTATAAACTGAGCCGTTTTACTTGAAGAAAATAAACTTTTACGAGATTCATAGCCTTCTCCACTTTCTAGAGATACGCCAGAATCAAAATAATAGCCAGAAGCATTAAGATGGGAACTTTTTGCTCCTTGGGAATACGATAGCTCGTATGAGAAGTAGCTTTTGTAAGCATACATAGAATTTGAATTAAAAATTTCGCGGCCATTAATATTAATTTTCATATTATTTATAAAAGTTTGTCCTATCAATTGAATTGGTGCAACATTGTCTGTTGCGCCCAGATTTACAAGGTAACCATTTTCATTTTCTTTTCTTATTCTAAGTTCGGTAAAAAGGTAGCATTTTGACAAATCAATATAATTTTGGCTTGAATGAATTTTGAAGTGGTAGGGTGTATCTGTAAGAGGATTGCTGGGGAGAATTTCAAAAACTTTAGAAGAAGTTACTGTGACATTAGTTGGAGGGATTTGAAAAAAGTCAAGTGCGCTAGTTATAGAGTTAATGCTTTCATTATCAATTTTTTGAAAAGCCATATTTAATAAAGTCCAAAGGCGTCTGATCTTACGCGTTTTTTAACTTTTTTGCCAATAATTGTTTGATATGACGGTATAGCGTTCCTTTTTATACCCTTCTTACGACCAGTACCAAATTGTTTTGGTAATCCTCCTTTGTCTAAAACATTATCGATTCCCTTCCTTCCCTCTTCCTTTAGAGCTGCCTTAAGTGGCTCTCCCTGATTTACTCTCTCTAATACCCTTTGGCCAGTATTTAGTGCTTCCCCTGCCACTGTAGTACCAGCTTGTTTAATAATTGGGAGGAAGAAACGCCAAAGCCCTCGCATTACATCTCCAATTCCTGCACCTCTTTGTGAACTGCCATATCCTCGCTGAAAAGGCGATGATCCTTTGAAGTAACTATATTCGTCAGAAATACCACTTCCCCTCATAGGAACAAACTCTTCATATCCAATAGATCTTGTATCAAAAACAACATGAACCATTTTTGAATAATTTTATTAAAAATATTAAATGAAATTTACAATTTTGAGGGTATTTATATACACACGAAAAATGATTTAAAAATTTATAACTTTTTTAAATATCAAAACTATCATCACTGTTCCAAAAGCAAATGGCACAAGTCTTCCCCCATCCATAGTTCTTAATTCAATCTCAATTTCGTTTATTTCTTTGGGAAGCACGCGAATAAAAATAGGTGAATCGTAAATCTTTTCATGATATTCTCCAGGGGTTGCTCCGGAGACAGACACAACTCTCAGTAATGAGCTTAGCGAATTTCCTACAATCATATTCTCAGTTAAACCTCTGGAGTAGACAGCAAAACTAGAAAATCCTCCTCTCAAGTCACTGCCATATTTTGCAATCTCCTCATTCATGACCATATTTGTATTTTCAAAACCCAAAACATAACCAAGTTGGGGAGAGAAGGACAGATATTTAATATTTGGATGAGAAAATTCGAGTTTAAATCGTTTAAAATCGTTATGAAAATATAGAGAAATGGAATCTATAATCTGTTTCTGGACAGTAGTGTCAATTTTATCTTTTCTTAAACTACTGTATTTTTTCAGAAGTCCTTCCATCATTGGCAAATAACTTTCTCTTTGAAAATTAGTAGGGGTTTTTCCTAGTACGTAGACAAGAACTCTTTCCATATCATCTGTCCATTTTATTCTCTCTTGAACGTATGTTTGATTTTGTTTTAATGGAAGAGCTTCGGGGAGCGAAGGAAGAGTTTGGGTAGGTGGAGGTAGTGATTCCTGAGTTTTTTGAGGGGTAGTAGGTTTTGGGAGAGGAATTAATTTTTGAGGTGTTGACTTTTGTTGAGGCAAAATTCGAGGAGGTGAAGATGGAGGTTTTTGAGCAGGGGGAGGTACTTGTGGAGTAGAATGTTTTTGAGGCTGGGGAAGTTGTGGTTTTTGCGGAGTTGGAGGTTTTTGAGAAGAAGGCGGTTGTGTAATAGGAGGTTTTTGAGTAGAAGATAGAGATGGTTGTGTAGTAGGAAATTTTTGAGTAGAAGGTAGAGGTGGAGAAGATTGTGTAGTAGGAGGTTTTTGAGTAGAAGGTAGAGGTGGAGGAGGTTGTGTAGTAGGAGGTTTTTGAGTAGGAGGAGGTGGAGGAGGTTGTGTAGTAGATGGTTTTTGAGCAGGAGGAGGTGGAGGTGGTAGTTGAGGAGTAGGTTTTTGATTAGTTTGAGGTATAGGTTTTTGGGGAGTAGGGGGTTTTTGAGCAGGAGGAGGTAGAGGTGGTAGTTGAGGAGTAGGTTTTTGATTAGTTTGAGGTATAGGTTTTTGTGGAGTAGAGGGTTTTTGAGGTTGAACTGTTGGTTTAGGGGGTGAAGCAAGCTTTTGAACAGGCGTAGGTGGTTGTATAGTGGGTTTTTGAGCAGGAGCTGGTGGAGGTGGTAATTGGGGAGTAGAAGGTTTTAGAACAGGAGCAGGTGGTGGTTGTGATTGAGTTTTTTGAATAGGTTCAGGAAGAGGTTTTTGTGGAGTGGAAGGTTTTTGGGCAGGAGGAGGTTGAGGGGGTAGTTGAGGACTAGGAGGTTTAGTTTGAGTTAGTGGTTTCTGTGGAGCAGCAGGTTTTTCAGTACTAGGAGGTTGAGGTTTAGGGGGTGAAGAAGGTTTTTGAATAGGTTGAGGTTGGGGAATTGATTGAGGTTGTAGTCTAGGAGGCGATGGTAATAGAGTAATTGAAGGTTTGTGAATTTCTTGAGGCGTAGGTTTCTTAGCTGGAGGTGTAGGTGAAGATGGCTTCGCAGAATTTACCAATCGCGGGGGAGATGGTGGATCTATTCTTGGAGGAGATGGAAGAGTCTCCTCCAAACTTCGTTTTGGGCGACCAGATCGTGGTGGTGACATTAATGTTGGTCTATTTAAAAATCCTACATTATCTAGAGGAGATGCTTCGAGCACTTCGCTTTGATGTTGCAATGTGGAGATTAAAAAATTAAGTAAATCTTCAGGTTTATTGTGAGAACCTCTTGGGACAGGGACCCTTATGACCTTAGCCTTTCCTTGAAAGTCAGTACAGTGAATATCAATCCACTGCTCTTCAAGTGTACCAATAGTTGAGGGCCATGAATAAGGATATGAAATACTGTGTAATCCACAAACCCAGTCTCCCGAAAAATAAATTGGTTTCGGGAGATGAACTCGAAACTTATTTGGCTGATTATCTGGATAATCAGTTGTATTACTTAGCAAACACACGTAAAAACTGTTAGACATTTTTATAACAAATAAATATATACAATATGAAAAATGACTTTTATACTAATTGATTCTCGTGTATCCATTCCCTCTCCGGGTATCCAATAAATTTTACAAGTACTTCATAGGCACCATCTGGTCGTTTCCTTTTGCGGTAAACCTTCTCAATCCTATACTCTGTCCCTGCATCTTTTTTGACTTTGGTAAGTTCTTCGTTGTAATAAGACCCCTTGTACTTATTACCGTTGTCATCCTTTAACTTATAACGAATTGGTCTAGATTGATCTTTGACTCTGTCGACTTCCACTATGACATCACCCCAATTTGGAATATAGCCCTTTTCAAATGTTCCTTTATCGACACTAGTACGTACAAAATCTCCTTTTTTAAATTTAGGTTTTGCCTTTCTAATTTTTGTAGACAATTCATCTCCATAAATCCTCTCCCACACCTCTTGAGCATTTTTAAAGTTAACGTCAATAGGTCTCATTCCATGAACCCGACTCTTTGCTTTATTTATTCCTTCCAAAATTTCAGGTAAGATCTCAAACCAATTAAGTGTTTTGTAGTGGGCAAAATATCGATATAATCGTTGTTTGACATTTCTAATTGCACGCTCCGCAAGCGAAGCTTTAACTATTGAATGGGTAGCTTCAAACTTTTCAATTTCTTCTTTTTCAAAAAATTCTTTTAGTTGTTTATTTTTAAATTCTAACCCTTTATCAGAAAATATTCTATGTGGCTTCATGGGCATTTGGTCGATTAAATGTTTAAAAGCTTCTAACATATCATCAATCTTTTTAGACTTGACAGGAACTCCAAAAACTCTTTTTGAAAGGACATCAACCCCCAATAAAAGATACTTATTTCCTTTATTGTGTCTTGACAATGTTTGTAAATCCGCCAAATCAACCTGAACATCTGTCATAAATCCAGCAGCCACAGTTCTATTTCTAGAAAAATGTATTCTCTTGGGACGCATAAGGGAATAAGTTCGGTGTCCCTCAAGGAAATCCTGCACAACTTTTCTTGGTAAATTTTTAAGGACTTTACGTGCTTCGTGCCATAATCTGTCAACTCCGGAAAATGCTGCAGGTGAATCGGGGTCATTATAGAGATGTTTCAAAAGTTTTGTATAATCTGCCATTTTTACCAAAGTGAGGGTTTAAATCTATTTATATCTTCCTGTGTAGGCTTTTTTGACGCCCATTTTTTACTGATTGTACGTCCTTTTACTTTACGTAAACTTATATCCTCTTGAGTTGGTTTTCTCGATGCCCATTTTTTAATCCCTTCTTTGCGTCCTCTTAAAATATTTAATTTTTCTGACCAAGCTTTTGATAATTGTTCCGATTTTTTCTTCGAGGCTGGTTTTATTCTTTTGAGATGAACCGCACTAGTGTCTTCAGGGATTACATATTTCCTTTTAGAACGCTCTCGCGGCAATGGAGGAGACGGGGATCTACCTTCTCTCAATATTCCATGACGACGACGAGATCTTTTAGCTCTATCTAAAACTTCTGCCTCCTCATCTCGACGTATTTGTTGAATTACACTATGATCAAGAGGGACTTTGACATTTTGTGATGATTTTCTTCTCCTTAATAGTTCTTTCTTCTTTTGCGTTTGTGCAATTCTTTGTCTTAACCTAATTTCCTTATTTTCATATGTATTCTTACTTCTCTTGAAC